ATTTTGCAAACATTAAAAAGCAACAAATACTGTGCACCAAACAAATTAGACTGTCTTGAAATACCTAATTTAACAGCTGTGGTGATATTAGTGTTCTTAATTGGACAAGAAAATGCAGGAAATTTGATTGAAACTTGATTTTATTGTATGGTTCCTGATGAAATTGAGTCTGAGAGGAAAGTGGGGCTTAGACTCTACAACTTTAAAGCTGCAGAGAGACAATTATAACCATCAAGCTTGACCCCTGGCATAATTCAGACCATAAGATTTCAAACAGCAATTTTGCTTCTAGCCCCAAATTGTTCTGGTTCGAGTCCTTCAGTGCTGGGATTTGCCACAAGCAGTGCATGTTGGTCAGCGAACTCAAGTGGTGGATGGGAGGAACGGAGGCGTTGATCATGCGTTTTACTGGATTTCTGTGCCATTGATGGAATTTGTGACCCCCACCATGCAGCAAGGGACTGGAGTCCAGGGTGACTTTACTCAAGTTTTCTGTAAAGGCTGGGAATGAAGGCATGAGAACAAGTTATCTCTCTGCCTCAAAGACAAGCCGAGTCCTGTGCTCATATCAAAGAGCAAAGTTAGACTTAGTGTGGCAATGATACTGACTGGGGAAATTTCGTCCTGGCATATTTCACAGGTTAATCTGCCCTTCCTTTTGGAGCACGCAGGGATTTTTCTGGGCTTTCCTGGTTTAAACACTGCCACAGAGGTGAAAGGAGTGTTGAAGTAACTTTTTTGCCTGTAGTTTTGCTCCTCCAGGGAACAGTCCCAGTTTGGGCAGGCCTGGTAGCATCGCTATCCATGGTTGATTACTTTTGAGTAAAAGAGCTATGAAAAGCAAATTCTCATCTCTTGACGATGACTCTTTAAATACTTGGAAGGATTTGGATAGTTTAGCTTCAAACCTAACAAGTGCCTACTTGGAAGCAACCCCAAAAGCATCAATTTTACTTCTCCAGCAACAAACCAGTGCAAGGTTAAGATCTGTGGTCAAGGTCCTGAGGTGTCCTGGAAACGTTCCACTCCTGAAGACCAAGTTGTGGCTCTGTGGGAGGCAGCAGAAGGCTCTGGTCGTTCTAGACAAGGCTCTGAGACACAAATGTTAGTTGGGGCTGAAAGGGCAGCGGGTTTCTCTTGGGAACAAGGCAATCTGGCAAACTTGACTGTTCTGTGACTCAATTTCCCTCTGTAACACGACAGCATTTTTTCATGACAATTCACCCCTTGCGGTCTGTTTACACAGTTGAGTTGTGATTTTGATTGGGCCCAGTTGGAGCCATAGCTACTACGAGGCTGAAAAATGGAACTGAGATGTGCATGGGTTTCAGGAGCAAACAACATAAACGCTTCCAGACAAGTGAGACTTGCTCATGTTTGCTCATTGTTGACTATGTAACCTCAAAGGCTGAATGATCATGAAAACTTTGTGTTTTAAGTGGAACAAATCTGCAGCTTTCTGACTGGCCCAAAATATGCACCGATGAGGTGAGAGAGGTGGGTGGTTCATTGCAAACTATGTGAGGGGAATACTTATAGGATGTCTTTTGTTAAAGTATTGGCAGTGCAACACTCATTCTTTGGCTTCGAAACAGAAATCTGATATTTTGGGGCTAGTTCTTTGCTCTACATATCACATCAAAATTCTCCGTAAGTTCCTCTGTGGCTTTGTTTTGCTGAAGCTAGTTAATCACTTGTCACGAGTCTTCCCATCTCTCTCCACTTCTTCAAGGACTAACGTAGACTGGACCTTCACATTTGGCTGAAAGCTCTTTCCTATCCTTGCCTTAAGTGCTGCTCTTCTTAGGGGATTCCACCTCTAGCTGAGGGACAGAAGCTTTATTAAAACAGTGCTTAGAAGGAGCGAGTTAATTGGACATCTCTTAACTGCTAATTCGCAAGCTTTCAGGGTTGAAAGAAAATGAATGAGAAGCTTTTACTCTTGGTGTTTGAGATCTAAGAACTGTTGATCACGGATTAAAATTTCAAACCTCATCCCAAGGCAAACAACCTCCAAGACAGCTTCATCTGAGCAAGGCGTAGACTCTCTGGTTTCCAACCTGTACCATCTGGATCAGGGGAGAATTTGTATGGAGCAATTACAAATTTTCACACACTTAGTCCAATAATTTCTCACATAACTTTTGGGCAGACCCCCCCCCCCAAAGGTAAAGAACTGCATGCTGTCACTGCCTGTTACGCCCAGGTAAAGGCGCAATGTGCTCGTCACTTAGAGATGTCTTAACTGGGAGCAAAACTCAGAATTGGCCTCAAACTCCATACAACTAATGCCTTGTGGAGGATTGCCCAAGATGAGGAACCTCGTTCTACCAGCCGAGTCCCTCCTGTCCTGCTGCACAGAAACAAGCTTCATCTGAGTCTGTAAGCGTGCACGTGACTTGTGGCTGTAGATGTATTTAAACTAACCCTGTTTGCTGCCTAGGTTGTCATAACAAAATAGACATTTTGCCTAAATAATTGCATTTCCTGAGTAGTGTAGGAACAAAAAAAATTTTCTCCCTTAGAATTGTGCAAATATAACTTGCTGAATAAGTAAAGCTGATGTTACCTGTGGAAAGGGAGTGGGAGGAACACATGCTGAAAGTCACCCTTCCTCCCATGCCATCGTAGTCATATAAAAGAAAGAAATCCTATCATTTCAGTGAACGGACAATACTGCGCTATCATATCAGGGTGCCTTTTAAGCTCTCAAGATAAGTAATTTATCCAAAATTTTCATGCAGTCAGTGGCAGATAAAGGAATTAGGTCATTACTCTTTCATCTTCTGTAAGAACAAGACCATCTTCTCCCACTCCCGATTAAAATTTAAACTAACTTTCATTCTGTGCCTAAGCCTTTCCAGAGTGAAAATGATCAAAGCATGAGATTAAAAACACATCCCGATCTGATGAGATTAGAATTTTGACTGTTTCCTTATGCCTTTTTTTTTAAAAAAAAAAAAAAAAAAAGAAAGAAAGAAAAAAGGCAAAACATCTTTTTGGTATCAACCCCCCGCCCCCCAAATTGGATCAGAGTGAAGCTAACATGGGCTTGCTGGTCCAATAGGAAATGGAACTCAATTTTACATTTTTTTAAACCATTTTACTGTATTAAAAATGACAGAGGTTAGAAACAAAGCTCTTATACTTTTATTGAACTGGAATTAGAAGTGACAGAAAATCATTTTGGTCCTAGTGCAGTAAATGTTATCACTAAAACATGTTCAGGGGAGATTAGGACAGTCTCTCAAGCACAAGAGACAAAAGTTCACCAAACAAGAAGTGATTTCTCTGTCCTTGTCTCACAGCCGTCGGCTGGCCAGGGGATGAAAGTGCTGCAGCTCTCGGTGGGCGCCGGACCTGGAGGCCCCCACCCTGGGCAGAGCCCAGGCAGGGAGGCTGCTCCTCACCGGGGAGCGTGCTGAGCACGGGGTTCGGGCACGGGGCCAGGGCTTCGGGGCTTCACGCGTTGCAGTAACAGTCCGTGCTGGTGGGAAGCAAAGGGATGGAGCTGCTCTGACTGCTCCCCTGACCCTGGGCAGTAGTGTGGCTTTGGGGATTGAGAGAGGAGGCTGCCGCAGGATGGAGGGGAAAGCCTGTCCTTAAAGTGGGGGAGCTCTGCCGAGAGTGCCCCAGGGCCAAGAGGTATTTATGGCCCTTTCTAGCTGCAAGGCACACTGGTGTGGCTCTTTCCAATAGGTCACAGCTGTTACTTATCACTGTGGGAGTCCATTCTCCCAGAAAAGTTTCTTCTGTCTGTGTGTATTCTTTTTTTTTTTTTTGTCCAAAGAAAACAAGTCAAATATTATGCCCTTAATCAGAATTCTGTTGTTGTTTTCTAATTAATCTGTGTCAGTAGCTTGAATGTTTGTATTAAATCATTTTCTTCATGAAAGCTTTTAATGAGGAAACAAATTGATTGGATTTTTATGTACTGGATTCTTGCCACTAATGCCTATAGACCAACCCTTTGTTACACATTTTGCCTGTGAATGGGTCATGTGGCTCATCCTCAGTCCTTGATCTGTTTCCAAAATTTGCCAGTGCTGCTCCTATATTAAAATGGCTCACGTTAGCCAAAGGTGTGCTCTAAATGAGAGACAAAGAAAGAACGGAGGATTTCTTTTTGGCTCGGCTGTTTCTGTGGTGCCTGGCCCTCTGAAGTAGTTCTGGTGTTTGTGAGCGTGAGCAAGCTGCTTGGGGCAGGGCATCGCACGCTGCCCGGCACGCGGGGATTTCGGATGCTGTTGCAGGGGAGCCATGAAGCATGGACTGACAACGTGTATCCCACGAGTTTTCATCTGCATGGTTCTGCAGGGAAAATTCCCGGTCTTTGGTCTGTGATCTTCTACACTGCTAAACGAGTACAGAACCTCCACTCAGTGGAGATAAATTTTGAGCAAGAAGGTTGCAAACCAGCGTAATAGAGAGGTGGCATGAGCGGAACAGGAAGAAAATGAGGAAATGAACTGGAAAACACGGTGAAGATGCTGAAGTCGATCAGGGTGTCTTGGTGCATTACAGTGCCTTTTGAGCTTCCTAATGTGACCTGCGTGCACGAGAGCTGCAGACACACCGTGTCCCTGCGAGCAGAGCTCGTGGCGCTGAGGCACTGAAGGGCAGTGTGCCTACTGCCCTCCCGGGGTTGCGGGAGGGAAGGTGCAAGGTGAGGTTACTGGAGGCTGTGAAGGGAAAGGCCGTGTGAACATCTCTCTTGAGTAGGAGACCTGTTCGAATGGCAGGAAGTTGGGAGCCTTTGGAGAAGATCTGAGTAGTGAAAGAGGTTCCTTAGGTAGCAGAGGGTGTCACAGGGACCAGTTAGCATTCGTAGGACTGCCAAGAAATGTCTAGAGGAAATTCACAAAATGTATTTTAACCATTTGCTGGATTCCTGGCAGCTTGTCTGGTGTAATTCTTACATCTGTCACTTGCTTATCAGGCCAGAACAAATCAGTAAGAAAATAATGTATGCTTATGCTTTTTTTTTTTTTGTCTTTTAGGTATCACTTGGAATTTCTGCCCCGAGGTGAGTACACGGCAGTGGGGAAGGAGGCATGATTTCTCCCAGTTCTGTACTTGGGGAGCAGGGTTGGTTGTATGGTATTTTCTATGCAAAGTCAACAAGGAGGAGAGCTACTCATTAAAACAAATACGTAGCTTGTGTGTGGCAGTTCTGAGGGATGGGAAGGGGCAAAGCTGGGGTAAGGGCTGTAACAGGAGCTGGGGTTAGTATTCTCCCTGGACAGAAGTCTGTTTTTCCTTACTCTTGAGAGTAAATGGGTCGGGCAACCTGTTCTAGTGGAAGGTACCCCTGCCTGTGGCAGGGGGGTTGGAGCTGGATGGGCTTTAAGGTCCCTTCCAACCCAGCCATTCTATAAAATAATACAAAAATGTGTGGTGCTAATGTAAACTTTCTGTCCTGGACAAGCTCAGGAAATTTTGTTGCAAAACTCCTGTTTCTAGAAAAGGATTGAAATTCAAAAGGGCAGCATATTCCTGGGGGCATTGACTTAGGAGCAAAGACTGTTTGGTAACCTTAAGTTGCTTCCAGTCTTGTTGCTTCCATGTTAACTTGAACTCGAAATTAAATCAACCTCCAGGTGTAGACAAATGGCCAGGCTGTAAAGTTTTCAGGACCGTGACCATCTCTTGTTATGTCTGTTAACAAGCTGGGAAATTCTGATCATGACTTTGATCTTCATTTCTGCAATAATGTGGGTGATGATTTAAACTTTCCAGGGTGCCTGCAGGTCATGAGCTGTGTCAGGGAGTACTTCTGCGTATCCAGGACAGTTGATGGATATACATTTCCTCAGAGCTGACCTGGAGCTCCTTTGTCCCTGTATGGGATCAGTGCAGCTTAGCTCTGGTTTCTGATCTGGAGCATTGGGTACAACCATGTTACAGCTAAGGCGTGTAGTTTGGTGGGTTCGTTCGTTTCTTTAAACAATGAGTGTGAGAGGTGAGCACAAACAGAAGGATCTGCCAGCGTTCAAACAAGATGGGAGCGGCAACTGTAATAAAAAATCCTTGTGAGTGTTCCAAATCAGCTAATCCTTCATTTACTTCAGGAATAAATTCCAGTATGTTACCTCCTCGATCAGGGCCCACTTCCAGCACATCCTGTCTGTCTGGCAGCACAGAAATGTCAGAAATGCAGCAGTGCTGCAATTCCCCCTAGAACAGTGTTATCACATTTTAATATGAGCCTCGGTGCAGCCTCGGTGCTTCTAATTGCTTTCAAACCATTGTTTTCGTGCGTTTGGTTGATGAACCCAGCATCTGGCATCATTTGAGAAAGTACAACAGACAGCTGTGTTCAAAATTAAAAAAAAAAAAAGTGAGAGAATTAGAACACATAAAAGGGTTCAAAATTAGTTTTTTTTTAATTTTGAAAATTCATACAATTTAGTGGATGGAGGGGAGGGATGCTTTTGTTCTTTTTGAAATATCGTGTTCTTTTGTGAAGCTGGAAATCTGAGTAGTATTAGGAACATCGGTTTGTAGAACTGTGTATAGATTTGTAAATGATTTGAAGTGCACAGCTCATGCAAATGCCTGCTTGGAATTATTGTGCAAGTGTTTAGAGGTGTCTACATACCTGAAGACCCAAACTTGTCCCAGTGTCATTTTGGGGAACCAATGCTATCCTGAAAAAATGCACTAAGGAAACAGGACAATGCAGGCATTAAAACCTGAGCTCAGACATCACCTGGAGAGCCTCAGTTCCAGTTTGATTCCTGGCTGGGGGAAGTGGTGATGAGAACTTGGTGCATGCCGAATGACAAAGAACCAGAGAATCACAGTGTGGGCCTTGGATTAAAAAAAAAAAAAAAAAAAAAAAAAAAAAAGCAAAACAGAAACCCTCACATGCAGACATATGGATAAGAGGATTGCATAAATTTGCTGCCTAGCTGCGCTGTCAGTGCATTTAAATCAGAGGCTGATGTAGGGAGAGGAAAAGACTGCTTCTTAGAACATTTGGTGTTTTCCTGGGAAGGCACTTCAGCATCTATTAAACAGTATTGATAAAGGGGGTAAGCAAAACTTGTGACCATATCTGGTAAAAATAGTTAAAATTTCTTAAGTTCAGGGCCATGCTGGGCTCCTTCTGGAAAGTATTACGACCAAAACCTCAATGATTCTAGCTTTCCAAAATTAATAGTCAGTTTTGATATAAACTTCTGCTTGCTGGGAGACGTGAAGCAGTAGTGCAGGCCTCGAGGGTGGGTTGGGTATAGCCGTTCAGTTTCAGGGGGATGTAGCTGACAGCATGTGAGATCTGTAGGACGAGTTGCCTTGCCTAACTCATCCTCCCCAAGTGATGCTGTTGACTGTAGCGTGTAGCTGCAAGTTACTTTTGCCTTGTTCCTTAGGTGCTCTTTGAACAGAGCACAAGGGTGACACGTGTTGCCTTTTGGAGGAGGGCTGGCTGCTTATGTGAAGCACTGTGTATACTCCATGTATTTTACTCGTGCCCTTGCTGTCTTGCAGCAACCTCCCCTTAGTGGAAAGAGAACCAAGGAAAGCTGGCAAAGAAAATCTGCACAGGCCCTGGTCTGTTGTACCCCTCCCCAAAGTTGCTTTCTGCTGTTCATGGCTCTTCTCAGAATTCAGTGCAGGGGAGATGTTCTGCAACAGCTTCGGTTTAGCAGAAATGAATGGTCTGAGGGAACAACAACAGGCCGGTCTGAGGTACTGCAAGTGACTTCAGGACTAAACGGGGAGGGGGAAGCTGGAGGGAGTGTAGATGATTAGTTGGGGAGAGAAGGGGAGGGATGGGGGAGTACCGCACAAGGAAGGACTGGAGAAGAAAGGTGTTTGTGTAGCTAAATAAGGGAACTCTGTTGGGGCTGGAAGCTTGACTTTGCTGCAGTGGGACTTTGCACTGAATAACTTCATTGTCACTATTGTTTCAGCTGCTCTGTTCCTAAAACAAGAAGGTGTGCAAAGATTGACAAGTATTAAAAGACAGTATATCTCTTGGTAGCAGTGAATTGGTTTAAATCATTGTCTATACAGTGTTTGAGATCCTTAGGAGCGAAATTCACTCCTTAATACTCTGCTTGAAGGCATGGGCTTACGGAAACAGAAAATGTGTCTCTGCCCTCAGCTGAGGGTTCCAGCCTGGGGCTGACAAAGAATTTATTTTCATTGAGCTTATGGTGACGCTTTTTTTTTCCAATCAAAAATTTATCCCAAATGCTTTTAAAATGTCTGAAGTTCTGTGTAGATGCTTAAGGAACATGTGTATTCAGAAAAATATTCGCAAATAGTTGAAATGTGAGAGCGAGGATTGTTCCATTTAAGTTTTCGAAAACTGGGGCTCAAGAAATGTGCCAAAGATATTAGAGCATCTCCAGGTACATCCAGGACTTGGGTCCAGATCTCCTGATTCTCTCAGCTCTGTGCCTTCAGCCTCAAAGTGTCTCCTCCCTGAAGCAGGGAGGAGTAAATATAAACGGGACGTGCTGGGACAAAACATGACTTAAAAATCGGGAGTCTTCATGTGCCGTAAAAGGCTTAAGTAACTGTAAGTTATGCCACTTACCTCGTAGTATATACTACTGAGATGAAGTAGGTATCACCTTACCTCTGTTGGCCCTACTTACTTTGGCTCGGATGCGCGGTGTTTCAGGGGCCGCCAGTTGTTCCACAGGCTGGATGTCACAGCAGTGCATGAGATATGCATACCCAAGGCACAGATGCAGTTTTCTTTCATTAACTGGCATTATACAGTGGCCTCAAGTATTAGATTTATGAAGTAGCTTTTCTATATACAACCTCAAATCTATTGAATTGAACTGAAGCGGAGCTGGATGGGAGATGGAACTGTGCATTTCCCTAACCACTGCTCCCTGGTATTGCATATTTGGTTCATGTAGTTATGACAAGAACAAGTAGCAAATCATTAAAGCAGCAAAAACACCATCTTCACTGTAAAGATCTCCTTTGAAGCTGAGGCAGAGTGTTCCTGAATTAATGGAGTGCACAGTGATTTTACTAAGTTTTATTTATAAAAAACCCTCTTTACGTTCATGCCAAGAGTCTCCAGCTCAGTGGTAAGCAGGGTTCATGCACAGAAACCCAGTCTAGATTTATGATGTGTTTGAAAACGCAAGGGAAAAAATATCAAATTGACAATATTTGTAACATATTGTTAAAGTATCTATTCTGTCGCCATGCGTGGAATTCCCCTGCTTTATAAACATGAGTGCCAGCTACAGCCCTTGAAATGTCATAACACATAGAGACAAAAAGAAAACAAAAAAACTTTTGTTAGAATGCATTCTGAAGTCTGAGATGTGTTTGGTTGGTGTGTGGAACAGAGTTAATTAATGAAAAATAAAACATACACAAAGGCACATGTTCTTTAACTTTTTTTTTTTTTTTAAAAAAAAAGAAAAGCTTTAATATCAACACTTCTGACAGCTCCCTTTATCAGCACCGAAGGTTTGCTTCCTGCGTCTCTGAGCATGCAGTTCTTTGCCTCTGCGTATTTATTATATTCTGGGCAAACCATTTTGTGTAGAGAGACAGTACTTTTTGCACAAATGTCTCTTCTGTTTTACAGACTGAGCAGCTGCACAGCTTTGCTTTTACATGGACTTATAAATTATTCTGCTACCTAAAGTGTTGTGCACAAATTTTGGAGGCAAGGAATGATTCTAGCGTCGTAGGTGGGAGGCAAGCATCTGTGCTCTGGGAAGGGCTGTATGGGGGTATATGTACGTTTTTATTCACACCTATACGTAGAAAAGATCAAGAGATGTGTGACTTTGTACCTGTTGGTATTGCATTTCAAGTGCATTTCAGGTGTTCAAAAGGAAACCAAGCCCCGATTCGTTACAAAGCTTTGTTGACCTGGGTGTCCAGGTGGAGGTCTGCCCAGGCCACGTGGCACACGCCTCTGCTGGTGAGGAGAAAACCTGACGGCCGTGCGTTGGTGTGTGCCAGCACATGCCCAGCATGGGGCTGGGACTGTCTCCTGACCCAGCCTGCTTCCATGAGCACCTGTGAATGTGT